GGCAGGTCCTGGCTGCAGGGAACCCTGGCCCAGCTGTGCCATCGAGGTCTGTGCCACCACTCCGGGCTGCTGCAAGGAGCCTTGTCCCAGCACTCCGGGTTGTTGCAGGGAGGTTTGTCCCATCACTCCGGGCTGCTGCAGGGGTGTCTGTGCCATCACTCCTGGCTGCTGCAGGGAGGCCTGGCCCAGCACTCCAGGCTGCTGTAGAGTGGCCTGGCCCATCACACCCTGCTGCTGCATGGAGGCCTGTCCCATCACTCCTGGCTGCTGCATGGATGTCTGTCCCATCACTCCTGGCTGCTGCATGGAGGTTTGTCCCATCACACCTGGCTGCTGCATGGAAGCTTGTCCCATCACTCCCTGTTGCTGCATGGAGGTTTGTCCCATCACACCTGGCTGCTGCATGGAGGTTTGTCCCATCACTCCCTGTTGCTGCATGGAGGTTTGTCCCATCACCCCCACCTGCTGCTGCTGCAGTGACACCTGTCCCAGCATGTTCTGCTGCTGCAGTTTCTGGGCCAGCTGCATCCTCTGGAGCTGCCTCTCCTGCAGCAACCTGCTGTCAGTTGCCAGCCCGTGGAGCGCGGGGTTCCCAGTGAAGAAGGCGTTGGAAGTACCGGGCACGGTGGCGCTGCCCACGCCCTGCTGGCCCATGAAGGACAGACTCTGCTGCACGCCCATGGACACCCCACCCTGGGGCAGCCGCAGCCCCCCGGGCTGGCCTGGCTGCTGGGACAGGCCTTGGGAACCCACCACAGCCCCTGGGGGCTGCTGGACCCCGTGTGATGAGAGCAGCTGCCCGGGGAGCTTGGCCATGAGGCGGGGGCTCTGCGAGGGGCTGAGGGCCATGACAGCTGAGGCCTGGTGCTGGTGCTGCTGCTGCTTGTTGCGGTACTCGGCCATCAGGTTGGTGTGCTCCTTCTGCTGCTTCCTCACCTGGGGGGCAGAGGGACAGTGTAAGCACCGGGAACGTCCCTGCTGGAACTGGGGATGGTGGGGTGTTCGCACCAGGCACATCCCCTTTGGCACCGGGGAGAATGGGATGTTTGCATTGAGGACAGAGGGGTGTCAGCAGCAGGGACATCCCCATTTGCACCAGGAGTGTCCCTGTTTCAACTGGGAATAGTAGGATGTTTGCACCAGGGACAGCCCTGTCTGCACTGGGGACAGTGGGAGGGTAGAACCAGGGACATCTCCGTTTGCATCAGGGGTGACAAGATGTTTGGACCACAGCTGTCCCCAGTTGCACTGGGAATGGTAGGACCCTTGCATCAAGGATGTCGCTGTCTGCACTGGGAATGGTGGGATCCTTGCACCAGGGATGTCCCTGTCTGCACTGGGAATGGTGGGATGTTTGCTTCAGGGACAGCCCTGTTTGGGAAGCATTGGAACAGGCTGCCCAGGGAGGTGGTGGAGGCACCATCCCTGGAGATGCTCAAAACCGGGGTAGACATGGTGTTTCATAAGATGGTTTAGAGGTTGTAGAGTGGATGGTTGGACTTGAAGACCTTGAAGGTCTTTTCCAACCCTGACAATTCCATGATGGGATGTTCATGACCTGGCCAGTGGGACATTTACAACCAGGACGGTGGGACACTTGCACCTGGGACCCAGCCCCAGTGGCAGTGGGGACTGGGTGCCCACCCACAGCCCCTTCACCTGGTCCAGCTGCTTCTGAATCTTGCTCTGCTGCTCGGTCACCAGTTTCAGCTTCTCAGCATCAGCCTCGGGGAATTCCCGGCCGGCTTTCTTGGCCGTGCGCTGCTTGGCACAGAGCGCCTTGCGCGACTTGCGGTGCGCCCCGATCTGCTCCTCCAGCCCCTTCAGCGCCAGCGCCTGCTGCGTGTGGAAAAGCCACTCCTCGTACTGCCGCTGGTCAGCCTCGTCTGCAGGGGGAGACGTGGGTCAGGAGGGAACAGGGATGGGTGGGGAAAAGGGGCCGGATGGGGGGGAAAAGGGGGGATCGGTGGGAAAAGGGATCGGAGGAAAAGGGTACAGGGCGGTGGGGAAAAAAGGATCAGATCAGGTGGAAAAGGGCTTGGACCAGGGGGAAAAGGGCTTGGAGGAAAAGGGCTCAGGGTGGTGGGGAAAAAAGGATTGGATCTGGGGGAAAAGGGCCCAGATCAGGGGGAAAAGGGCTCAGAGGAAAAGGGCTCAGAGTGGTGGGGAAAAAAGGATCAGATCAGGGGGAAAGGGGCTCAGGGAGGTGGGAAAAAAGGCTCAAAAAAGTAAGAGAAGCATGCAGATC